TATGGCCTAGCCTATGGCCTAGAATGGCATAACCTTGTAGGCCTTGCGTGTTAGGTCGCGGACGAGCGACAACCGTTCACCACCGCTTTCGGCCTCTTTCAATTTTTATAGCGTAGCCTATGGCACAGAATGGCAGAGCCTCGTAGGCCGCGCACGATAGGGGTGACAGCCACTATAACTTTCGACCTCTTTCAATTAAAATATCAGATATTATCGGATATTCAAATCTCTGTTCAAATATCCACCCTAAAGATCTAAATGTTGACAAATTTCTGCCCAAATGAAAGTTTTATCACGAATTAAAATTTTTTTTCTGGCCTGCTTTCAATATGGACTTCGATTCAATCAACATCCTTCAGTCCTAATGCTACGAAAAATGACTTCCAATATAAGTTACTACGATAATGTTTTGAATTCGAGTTTCAGCTGACAAATAACACCCAACTATTCATAGCTTCCAATATTTGTTAGATGCATCTATCAGTTCACCCTTTCTTTCCCAAGCTGCCCACTATCATTATAAATCCCCACCAAAACCCGTAAACACTGCAAAGATATGCGGAAAAGGAGAAACAAGAACACAAATATAATAGAGACGAAACGAAATGAGATAGTCGCACTGAAGAAAACCAAGGTAAAGGGTTTCTCCCAACAGAGAAACAGAAAAATAGCCACGGGCCACATTGCCATGGGCATCATAAAGCCAAGCCCAACTGGGGGGGGGAGGAGAAGAATCAACACTAAGCAAAAGCACTATATCGCCGCCGTCAACTGCATTTCGTAGTCATATCCCTCATTTCTTTCCCGTTTGCCCATTAGTCTCGCTAACTGTCCTTTCTCTTCTTATTCTCTGCTCCGCTTCCCCCCTCCCCCTTTCCTTCACATAACCATGAGGAAAGGGAATGGGAAATCAGGCGTCGTTGCGTCTTTTACTCCAAAATATCGCGACACGGCGGCATAAAATCTGCCTTTTCATGCAAAATATTGCGACAAGAAGGCATAAAATCTGCCCTTTCATACATTTCTAACTGCGTTGAAAAGGAAACCTGAATGGCTGAAGGCAGTGAGAGTGACGTCAGGTCTTAGCGCTGCACTTCTCTGGTTACGCCACTTTTTGAGGAACTGTAACTAGGATGGGAATCCTAAGAAAAGGCGCTTAAGACATACTGCAGTTCCTTCTGTCAGCCTAAATTCAACCTTTAGCCACATTATCCCTGCAGGTTTTGATGATGCAGCTTCGCGTGATAAACTTTTGCAAGCATAAGCCCACGACTAAGTGCGGTCTATATTGCTTGGCGGTCAATAATCAATGAGAAAACCTGGAAAGTGCTACATGCAAAAGCACTTTATCGCTATGTAAATCATTTATAAAAGAGTAGCTATTAAAGAACTCAAACGATCTACGACCAACAGGTGAGAACATCTACCGAGCGCTGAGTTCCTCTGAGGAATGTGCCTCGTAAAAAGGAGAAGTCGCGTCCCAAAAAGGGGTCAATGGCTTGGGCAAAATCTCTATCGTAATCTAATGAAGCTTATGAGAACATCAGAGACATGATTACATCGCCACCTCCATTGGTCACGACATCGTGAATGTAACCAAATGACCTCTCATGTGAGCCAGGCATTTTGACTGGTCATCGAACCCACGAGACATCATGCAGAAATCAGGTCTTCATATGGTCCACATTGGTGCTTGAGCCAACGAAGATGAATTCACGAGTTCATAATACAGGGTGGCCCTGAAAAAATGTTACGTCGAGAATAAAAAAAAAGGTCTCGTCATAACATTTTCCAGGGCCATCCTGTACTAAACTATGCAGAGAACACAAGAGCTACCGATTGATGGTAATAGCAGGGGACATTCGCAACTGAAGGCACCCCATATATTTCAAATTTCATTGCAAGACCACGACAGTGGATCGTATTTTCACTGTCTGTGACGGGTAGAAAAGTGGAGTTTTCTACCATGGCGAAAGCTCATCCCGGTTTAAATCACTCAGCAGGTGCCTTTCCCGTGGGCGAAATTTAGTTTTATCTCCTGACATCATGCTTGGGCTAGGACTATTTGGAGATTTTTTATTTTTAACCCAGATCAAGACAGCAGGGAAGTTCAATACATGCCCTACACCGATGTCTGCACTTCAGATGCTTCAGGATGTCCAAAATCATGATGCTCCTCAGAGTGCAACATCAAGAGCAGAATTATTTGAACGCATGAATGTTCCAAAAGATCATGGTCGCACTGCGTTAAGCAGAGGATACGTGGCCTTCAAAATTATCGATAAATTTCTCAGTTTGGGGAGTCGTCCAAACCATGAATCTAAGAGCTCTTCCGGAATCCCATAAATAACTCATGAGCAGTGGCGTCGCCAGAATCTCATTTACGAAAGAGGGGCTCAAGTGATTATAAGAATGGGGGTAACTTCCATTCATTAAAAGCACACACTGCAAGGTGTTTTAGTAAAATGCAAACTTTCAGATTTAAGTTGAATTTTAATCCATTCGCGAACCTGTCTCCGAGACGGCCTCAGTGGAAGTGTCCAGCCCGTACCTAACCGTCTGCCGGACGGGTTCGTGGCTTTTTTGTCAATGGTATGGTCGTTAGATGGCATAATATGCTTTCTTTTAGGTTCTAGTAGGCTCTTTTAGGTTTAGTGCGCAATGAGGAATTTTTTCCGCAAATTAAATGGTATTTCACAGCAACTCTTAGTAAGAAAAAAGTGGTATGCGAATGGGATTAATATTGAGGAGAGGGGGGGAAATGACTTGGCTCCTCCCCGCCCCCCCCTGGCTGCGCCGCTGCCCGTGACGGGTTTGTTGTTAGTTGTCGGAGCCTACTCCTTCATGGCTGAAAGACGTGGCAGTTAAGGAGAAAGAAATTCATTACATGCCACGGAGATTATCTCCGACGTGGAGACAATATCAAGAGTTTGACATGGATTGGCGAGAGAATATCGCAATATGAAAGGCAGAACCAATGCGTGGACATTCGAGATAGTGTATTGGTCGGGTCAGAATAGCCACTCTCGCTTGGGCGTGTTGGCCGTCACAGCTTGCTCGCTTTTGACAGTGATTCGCCCACAATATGGTTAAGAGGCGCAAGGAGAACGACCGATACATCAGTCAGAATGCAGATCTTCAGCCATAGACTCGGCCTGGTCAAGCCACAGGGCGTGGATTGTGCGAAAAATGGCCTAGGAAAATGGTGGCCATTCCGACCCGTCAAATGCACAACGCATATCTGGCACGCTTCGCTCTCTTTGTCACGCTCACACCATGGCATCCCTGCGCTGTTAACCCATTGGCTTAAATCATATGAACTTTTCCGTTGTCGTACATTGGGGTTGTAGACTTAACGCTTCATCTTGTCTTTTACGAGCCGTTCTTGCAAAGAGTTCCGGCTTTATTCAATGGATAAATTCCTACGCATACTCAAAACTTTTCCTTTTTCCATAACCTCGCTCTGGTGAACTTTTACAGTAACTTCCTTCCCCCCACCCCTACTCACACCCATGTCCGAGAATGGAGGAAAAAAAAAAGCATCAATGAGTACCCAAGACGAAACATAAACCTCATACAAATTTTTTATCATTATTATTTTTTTTTTAAAGCAAATACTTCTTTTTTTAACAGAAAAAAGGAAATTAGGGGTCGCGAGAACCAATTCATAAGCCTCATTGAGACTCATTGCGCTATGAGGCTAAGACTCATTGCACAGGGCAGCAGTTGCCGCTCGGCAAAACCTGATTCTATTAACCCTGGGTGAATCTCACGAAAGAATAGGAAGAAATTCCAAGTATGCAGAAGGTGCGAAGCCAAGAAAGAGAAGCGATGGACTGCCTAGCTTCATCTTGCGGTCAGCGGGAGTCCACGGACTATCAGACGGACGGACGGAGTCTCGTCGAAGCAGGGGGGCATTCACACGGAAATTTAAGACTCTTGTCACCCTGATTCTAACAACAATATAAGAAAGCTTCAGATGATTTTGGATCTGACTACTGGACACGGAAGGAGTATCAACAGGACCGCAGACTGTACCAAAACGTGAAATGCTATCTCATTCACATTCCAAAAGTTTCTGCATATGCCCTTATGATGTGAAGCACCATCTCTATCCTTCTCATTTTCTAAATCTCATCTTTTCCAAAGCGACAAGTGGGCAGCGCAAGTGTGAAGGAGGGTGGGTGGGAGAACCAAGAAGGAAAGGAGAGGGAAAAGGAAGGTGGGGGAGGGAAAAAGAGAGAGAGAGAGAGAGAGAGAGAGAGAGTATCCTTGGAGCGTGTCCGTCATCATTTGGGATCAGGGAACCTTCTTCAGTGCCAAGTCAAACACCTGGTCCGACGAAAAATCTTCTACCTGCAGAAGAAACATGCATGTACCCTAAATCCAAGAATATGAGATCCCGCTCCCTCTCCTTGGCCTCACTGCGAGACGGAGGGTGATGGAATGGAATCCATCGAGTTTTTCGCAGTTTTCTTCTTGAGTTTCCAATCGGTGATCTAATCAGCCTTACCCATCACCCAGAAGAGCGTTAGAACTTAAATTGGAACTGACTGGTTCCCGGAAAAGCCATCAAAGTGATCAGATTAAAGTATACATCCCTTGCTGAAGAGGAAGAAAAAGGGTCCAGTCAGTTTCTGGAACGAGTAATTCCCCCCCACCGAAGAACCATTCTTCCTTTGGACAAAATGGTACTTTTCGAGGACCGTGTACATCTCCCAGGAAAGAAGCCAAAAAAACGGACGAAGATGGGGGTGGGACGTGTCGTATGATGCATTCCAGTCTGGAAGGGCATATCATAACGTTGCCTATAAAAGCAAAGAAAAGGCCCCAACATCCTCCCTCCATTTCCACGTTCCTTGGCACACGCTTACCCAAATAAACTCCGGAATACCAACGGCATGCAAGGAAGACTTTTCTCCAAGAAACGTGGGGATTTTTGTAAGTCACACGAGTAGACATAGATACAGGTATACAGCACATGACTGCATGATACATACCATTGCACCAACTGACAGGGTACATCTCGGGGGGAATGGATATCCAGTCCTGTCCGTATGCTTCCTCGTCCTCACTCCCTCGTGTCTTTTTCTTTCCAACCTAGAGCATATACAACACATGGGCTTGGCATTGACAGGCGACATATCAGCCCCGGAAGGGATTTTTTTCTATTTTTTACATTCTATTAAAAATACAAGATGTCCGCGTGATTACTCGATTACGAGAAATTCTAGTGCAGATCACGTCGGCACGAGTTGATGGAAAGCAAGTTCCTCGAGGTAAAAAAAATACCTGTCGCGACAGCAATATTGATCAACACTCCATCCGACAATAGAACTGCACCTGATGTATGGCACCAGGGTATGGAAAGTAGATAGAGACACGTGCGATGCGACATGCAACCTCGCGTGAGAAACGAAGGGGGCAGAGCGAAAGTCAACCTCATTTTTCACCTCCAGTTTTGGTCATTAAATTTTTTTGTTTTTCAACTTCCCACGCAGACATGATGTGGTCCTTCGTGCGAGGCACAATCCCCAAAAGAATATCTCGAATATTTCTCTGTATATAAGGTTAGAGTCAGAACAAGTGCACGTTCCTTCGTGAGAGATAGGTGACCCGAGGAACGGCTCTCTGAATAATGAAAAAGTTAGGTTTGTAAGGAGAAAGGACGAGGGGAGGCGATGAGATGCAACAAATGCAATCCCCAAGATTGGCTAGGGCCTAGTTAGGCAGCCCATGTATTAGGGGGAAGCAGAGAGCAGAGAACATGCCGGTATATCTAACCATAATGTAGGCATTTACAAATAAACGCATGGCATCTACATGGCCTCATGCGCTTTCGTAGTGTCTCGTAATCCAGGATTTTAAATCTCAAACATTAATTTCCACCCAGGAACGTCGTCCATACCATTGATTGCATACTCCCACACACTAGAGATCCCCCCTAACCGTCATTCAGAGAAGAGGAGGTATTACCATACCCTGTCCCAGTGGGATCGCTTTCATCTCCTCGTAGCTTTTCATTCCCTGACAAATGTCAGATGACAAAAATGACGTGGCAGATCACATTAGACCTCAACTGACCACTCGAATTCTAGCGAAAACTGCAACTCCAACTTATCATATAAGTTTTAACTCCAACTTATCATATCCTAAAATAAAAGAGACACCAAATGCAGCAACTGCTTGCTGAAGCTTTCAGCAAGCCTCTTCCTATGATAAAGAAGTTTTCATGTCACTACCGCATGATAGAATGCGGTATCTCTCATTTTTAGAAGAAAAAAGGTCGTCCTGACAATGAGACTGCATTTCGCCGGTTATGATGAGGACGCATCACTTGAGTCATTTAAAGGTTTATGTGACATCTACCGAGCAGGTAATCCTCTCACATATGTAGGTACCCACCAAGTCCGAGATTCAGAAAGATTACAGAAATGATCCAACACAGGAGATAAAGAGACCATTCCTCACCAAATATAGATGTCTGGGCGGTATCGGCCAGCGAAGGGGGGAATGAAGGAATGAACCAACCAACAAACGATGGAAAAACGGGCGAAAAGTGAATTCTTTGTCGGTGTTGCCGTTCCCGACGATGACCTTTCTTCTCCCCCCTTGTTACGGTACGGAACGGAACGGACGAGAAGGAAATAAGGAAAGAGGGAAGGCTCTAGCTATTTTAAAGAATGAAGAAGAAGGAGAGGAGGTGTGGACTGCGAAGGGAGGAGCAGACTGCGCTGGGGAGCCTGGGTCCATCGGGCCTAGGCCACCAGCCACCACCATTGCCTTGGATGCTCTGCGTCTCCCACCCCTTTCCCTCCCCTCTCTGCACAGGCACTTTCGATCAAACGCCAACGCGTTTTCATGCATACGACTGCGGCGTTTTCGGCGAGCTCTCTCAATCGATGGACCCACAACGCAATATTTCCTCCCATCGACCTGGCATGCAACTTTCAGTGACTATTCCTGGCCTTACACCGGGCCCATAATGACCAATCCCCCACCTGCAACTCTCATCGACCCATCAAATCGCACGATTTCACATTCTAATAGCGTTCTCTGTCTCCCTCTATCGAACGTCGAGAGGAACGGGTGAAAGAGGGGAAAGGCGACAAAAAGAGAGAACTCGGAATGGGAGGTGACAGCTTCGTTAGAGTCGCCTTCAGGAGTTCCCATCAATCACATCGGCTTGAATGCAGACGACAGTAGGAAATGCAAACCAAGGCAAATTGCCTCTCCCCCTCTTCTCCACGCCAGAGCAAAGCATTCAAGCCCATTTCTCTGTCTTCTTAAATCTGTGCAAAAGCCAGCTAGAAATCGTCTCCCTCTTTCCGTTCATACGCAAGCAAATATGACCCAATTTACCGCATTCCATTCTCAAGTCACGTTCCAGTCACGTGGGTCAAACCTGTCTCGATGAGCAAAAAACGAACTCAGTTTTTCCACCAAGTAACCCGAGAATTCTATCGATTGATGGGAACGAGACGGGAGCAGGATCTGCTTCGATGGGCTAAGGATATGCTCATATATGAGCTATGAGCTCGAGTAATCAGAGTCTATGAGTGCATGACTCACATGGATTCCCATGTGAGTAGCACGCCAACTCATCGAGACCTCCTCGGCTTTATGATCGATGAGAGACAACATGCCCGCTATCGGCTGGCATGGTCAACAAGGCGCAACGCATCTCGTGCTGCCAGATCTGCATCATCGAACAGAAGCTGATGGAATCATTCGTGGGAGAAATCCTATTGGGAGACAGCTTCATAAAAATGTGATAACACAGATCGTTCTGTTATGTCAAATATATTTTGGATGAACTCAACAATACTTCTGGAGACAGATATCGACACGAATTTCATGCTCAGGAACCGAAAGGGAAATTTGAAACCTGTTTCTCGCCTCCTTGGTAGCCGTTTTGGCATCTCAACCCGTCCCTTACATTTTCCTTTTTTTCTAGCATTATATTGATTAGGCTAATGATTACGATGAAAGTAGACCACTGCTGACTAACATCATGAGAGTAGAGACGGAGGAAACCTAAAAGATTATACACTTTAGCTATCGCTGAAAAAGATCAAATTTACATTTGAATAATTAAAAGTTGCTCTCCGCATTGCGTTACATTTAAACTTTTTTCTTAAAATAACACCGAACTGCCACCAATCATCTGAGAAGCCCAGGGGAAACAGCGAAAGACGATCAGTTCTTCGAGATCGTACGAAATGCCCGATTTCCAGACGCCTAATTAGGACGAGGTGACGGCCGCCTCATTCGATGCCGTATCAAAGGAAAGCCCCCATGAACATTAACCAATCGTGATCGCACCGACCTATTTCATTTCTTGGGTGATGGGAGGCAAGAGAAGGAAAAAAGGTCGTCGAGTACGAGCACAGGAGACAGAGTCAGAGACAGACGCAGTTCGAGTTGGGACCTCTGCTATAGTAGGAGCATTCGACAGCTGCACGGGCGCGGAACTCCAACAACGCGACCGGTCGCAATAGAGAGGTGTCAACTTGACGAATGCTCCTCTCCGTGCATCCGCACGAGGGTCGGTTTCTTTCTCTCCGGAACATACATATACCGGCACGAAGAGCAAACCTGCATATGGAGCCCTCGGAGAGAACTCGGGCTCGAGTCGACCTCCGTGTCGATCGTGCACGAACGCGAGTCGGAAACCCTGTTCTCCCACGTCGGGTACGAAATTGGACCCCTGGGTCACCACGCGGAAAAGCGCTCAAACGGTTTAGCAGCCAGTGCCCGAACCAGAGTTCAGTTCCATGCAGAAATCGAAAAGTAGGCACTTGCGAGGGGGAAGCACCAGGGACGCGCGAATCCCATCGCGATCAGACGAAAGTATCATGGGCGCGATTTACTTCACATCTCAGGGGGATAGCAAAATTCATCCCACATCGAGAGCATGAAGCGGAATGCAAAGTCCAAGGTCGATGCCGCAAAAAGCCCCGAATGAAATTGAAAAATGCAGATGCATACCGTGGACCGAGATCGCATCAGTGACAAATTAGCGGTACGATAAACTTCCGCGATTTTTTTTTCTTTTTAATAATCTAATTTACTACTTAAGGGCCTTACTTAATATGCGAAACTCGAAAGGCACATTTAAAAAAAAAAGAAAACGCCAGATTTATATGCACACTCATGCATATGTCTCGTTTTAAACCTCATTTTACGCACTCAGGTGCCACTGTTTACGGATTTTCGACATATAACGTTAGAAAAGGCATCCTACCGTCAACTTTTGAGTTTCTGAAGCCTCTTCTCGCTTTTTCTAGGCTAGGCAAATGTAAGACTAATAGCAAATGTTAAGCACTACCTCATGCCAGTTAGCTGCCCCTAAAAGTTGTTTTCAAACGAGTTGCGATATACCTTAATTGTCCTGATAAATGCAGTGCTTTCCTGAAATTACGATACAGTACTACCGATACTAGATGAGTGCTGGGGACAAGAATGAAGAAATGCACCCAACCGAGGCACGGCTACTGGTGCATCTCAAATCAATCCAATAGTTTTTGCTCAAATAGAGCGGGAGTTCTTTCGCAATTGACGTTAGATATTCAGTCCTTGATCCCATTGACAACAATGTGCAAGGCGTTGCCAGAGAATGACAAGGCTATAGCACCTCATTAGTCCAAACCGGTTCAGCAGTTTTGTCGTAGAACTGTCCAGTAGAAAGCAGGACAACTCCCCAAACAAGTACTTTGAAAACTCCTTAAGCCCTGGACCACTCAGGATAGACTCGGTGGACGGAGAGACCTCGGGAAGAAACGGAATGCGCTAACCTTCAACGTACAGCGTACCTTCAAGCAAGCAGAGTTGGATTTTGGCAAGGGATATGTCAATTTTCTATTAATTCTTTTATGAGGTATCATAAAAGCTATATAATATGAATTAGTATACTTAAAACAGGAGTAAGGTTACGCAAAGTTCATAATATGGCCTGAGAACCTGTTTTCACTTAAATTTATTCATGTTGGAAATGTATGATGAATCTTTGACTGAGCTATTAAGAGAGGTTCCCTTCCATACATTCTAAATCATGTTTGGTTTGCAGCAAGCAGACTAAAGTATTTGAAATGCATGCTCTCAAGCAATGCATTCCAACAGCTGTTCAATCTAACTTAACAGAATTTACAAGTTCAAAATAGGGAATGCAAAGTCTTCACTTCCGCTGTTCAGGCAACTGCGAAGTGTAAACGGGGTAGCATATGTGAAACCGGAAAAACTTGATTTTGGACCAATTTGACTACGTTGAAGTTGATGCGTGTAAATAAATCAGGTATTACGATGGCGTCACCACCGTCTCACGTGCCCCGCAACGCAACACACTGCTCAGGTGGTTATAGCAATGGCTCCGTCCGTGTTACGATGGTGGTTAGAATGGCCTTTAGGTGTGGCAGCACATTCTACACAACATTCCTTCGGGATGGAGACTAATCTCCCGGCGTACGCTGTCTTTCAATGCAGGGCGGGTGTTTGGAATGTCTGTCCGTGGTTTTTCTTTAAATTTTATCTCCACCGAGTGAGCACGTGACATGATGGTGGCGTCTCACTTCACCTCGTTTGTTTACGCGCATGAGCTTCCGCATGGTCCAGGTAGTCCACCAGCCAAATTTGTCAGTCGACACTCCGTTTGCGCACCGCAGCTGTCTCAACAGCGAAAGTGTCGTTTGGAAGAGCCTGGACATACATATAGGGTGCCCTAGAATTATTGCAGGATAGATTCCCTTCTTACAAACCAAGCAGTTTAACATACACACGTGAAAGAAACGTCAGTGTTTAGATGGAAGTTTAAAGTTTCATTACTCTTTTGTTTCTAGATTAATTTCTTGAACAGTCCCGAGAAAACAACATTACAGTGCATGTGATGAGCCCAACATGACTTCTAATGAGGCGAGGGCTCATCATCGCCTGATTGTTGTTTCTGCGGGTTGTTTCTTTCTATGGCAGAGCTGCCGAAACTCTTTGGCTACTTCCACTGCTAGCTGAACAGCAACACGACACACTTTGCCTACTTTCCATTAGAGGTCATGTTGGTAATATTATATGCACTGCAATTGTGCCGCCATCTTAGGATTGTTCGAGTTATTAATTCGGCGGCAAAAGAGCAATAAAACTTCACCTTAATATAAACGTTTGTTTCACGTATTTATCTTGAACGCTTTGACTTGTATAATGGAATTTAAAACAAACCTGCAGTGATTCTCAGGCACTGTATATACCTGTATGTCAAGGATGGCGAATAGACCATTAGTAGATGCATTGCTCCACCTACAGACGATTGCTATTATGCTTCTTGTTTGGAAACATACATTACCGGCGTGTTATCTGCACTTGAACGTTCGTTTTAAAAGGCTGTTCGATTGGTTCGGGCTTGATTAAAAGGAAAAATTGATATCTGTAACAGTCTCCGCCCGAAGTGAAAGAATTTAAGAACTCGAGGATCGACTCAGAGACCTCAATGCTCTCCCAAATCTAACACCATGCCACCGGAGCGACCATGGGGGGGGGGGGGGGGGAGGAAAGGGGTTAAAGGGGGGAATTTCTTAACATCGCCATCGGAAGGTGAAGTGGTAGCCATTATTGCAACACGTTCATTCCCTTCTTACCCGAATCTATCGTGATCGTGCGAGCGACCTCAAAAACTGACCTCATCCGAACAAAATTCACTAAGCCTACCTGCTGCACAAGCCCCATCGCGAGGCTATCATGGCACAGCGAACTACGTCAAACCCATCCATAGCCTGTGCTCTAGGCCTAAGCTTTTACACCTGT